TGCCACCGCAACTGTTGTGTCGCCCTTGGTCTCGGTGTGTTCCTCCATGGCATCCATGACCACTGCAATTGCTTTGCCGTGCTTGGTCTCGGTGCGTTCCTCCATGGCATCCGTAGCCATGCCTGCATTACCACCTGCAGAGTCCCTTCTTCGGGTCTCACCTACGACTGCCCCCCCTGTCTCTGCTTCAGCCACTTCACCACCCCTGACTTCATCCCCCCCGTCTTCACCACCTATATTTCCCCTGGTTTTATTGCCGTTTGTTACCCACCTTCCGACAACTCTACCACCCATGTCTTCACCACTCCTACCTCCCTTGGTTTTGTCTCCATCCGTTACCCCTCTTCCTAATCCACAAACCACTTCGTCCGCACAGACTCCGTCATCATGTTCTGCCCCTGCAGAAAGCCTGCTCCACCGTCCTAGACGCCGACTTCGACCTACTTCCCAACCTCAGCTTACTCCCCTTTCCTCCATCTCTATTCTTGGACGAAGAAGAACCCGTTCATTCTCCCCACCACGACCCTCCCCAACATCCTGTCCTCGTTTTTTGCCGCCCCAAGCATCTTTACCACGCCCGCAACGCTCTTCGACTGCAGACCTTTCTGCAACGCGGCAAACACAAAACAGGAGGGATGATGGCGAGGGGCTATCCGAGGATGAACTTGGCAAGGGGACTGTAGGAAATTCTGTAGAAAATCCGCCTGACTGGCCTCCACCGAATCTGTGTGGTCTCGCTGCTACTTACATCTGCCTGCAAGCCTATCGTCGGGAACCATATACTCACTTTGATTTCTTGGCCATTGCTTCCGATCTTGATGCTCAGGAACGTGAGTTATATGGCGATAACCTGGCTCTGCATCCCCCACAGGATAGTAATTACACTCGACATGGGGGATTCATTGTCTCTGTTTTGGAGACTGCTTTGATAAGGCGCCGGCTTGATATGCAGCGTGCCCCTTCGGGTGGCGACCCGGACCACTGCTCGCACGTTTGTGCCTATATTCTACATGCTCCTGGCCACTACACCGCTCTTGTTCGTGCCTCTGGTTCTTGGGAATTATGGAATGGCGGTGCTATGGTGCAAACTATTACTGCCATCTGTGATCTCGTGCGTAATTACCCTAACCTGCAACTGTTCCAGGTCATTGACCCTATGGGTACCTCGTGTACTTCCATGCCCACCTCTACACCTATCTCTGTGCCTGCCTCCGTACCTGTCTCTGTGCCTGTTTCTGTCTCTGTCTCCTTCCAGATTACTGACTTTGTGGGTACTACGTGTACTTCCGTCCCCGCCTCTGCACCTGTCTCTGTGCCTGCCTCCACACCTGTCTCCATGCCCATTTCTGTCTGTCTTTGTGCCTACCTCCATGTCTGTCACCGTGCCTGCTTTAGTCTTCATTCCCCCACATGCTGCACTAACACCTTGTGACCTCCTTCTTTGTGAGATCACTGACACAGTTACACTTGGTTGTGGAAAGCATCGACTTTGTCGACATCACTACAACTGTACAATTTTTCGGGCCCGCTGTCGGCAGGGATGCCACCTGTATCCGGATTGTGAACATCCTCTACATCCAGATGCAGTATGTCCCATCTGTGCCTGCGGGCGCTATAGTGAATGTGCACTTAACTGTGATGGTGAACACCCCACAATCGTCATGGCCTGCAACCGGCATGCCCTCTGTCGTGCATGCTTCAGAGGTATGGTTAATGCTAGCCGCCTTGGCTCCTGCTGTGACGAAGTTGCTTACCTGAATGGTTTTCGTCCTGTAGATCAGAGGGAGGGCTGCTACCATCGCCCGCATCCTTATGTCGTGAGGGTCTTACTTAGACGTACCTTGCACCCTGACAAAAATGTGCAGGTGCGCTGAAAAGAGTGTACAAGAATGTGCAAAGGTGGGGAACCCTTCACTAGAACTGCGAAACTGTGAAGAATGCAGTAAAAGAAGAACATAAGTTTGTGTCATCTTACTTTGTTTGTACCCTGCACCCTAACACCCTAAAAAGAAAAGTCCAAAGGGTGAAAATGAAGATGAGAAATGAAGAAGGAAGTGCAGGTGCGCTGAAAAGTGAACGTGGTAGACTCTTCACCAAAACTGCAAAACTGTGAAAGAAAGAAGAATGCAGTGAAAGAAAGAAGATGTTTGGGTCACTTTTTTTGTTTTTTCTCCCTCTGCCTATCGGTTTTCCTTTTCTGCTCCTCTCTTCCTTGTGTTTAACACCTCTTCCTTCACTCTGCCTCTTTCCCATAGCGTGCAAGTGGGCTGTTATGGCATACGGGGATGGGGGCAGCTCGCGCTCAACTTCATCAACGTGGCGAGCCTTGTACGTTAGAGGCATAGTGGAGGAGGCGTTAAGAAGACTGAGAAAYTGAATGATTTCAATGTGTCTTTGTTTTTTATTTTTATCCTTTGATTCAGTGTAATTTTTTTTTGTAAAACACTGAAAGAAATAATAATACTGTGAAACAAAGAATTAGAGGATACTGTTTTGTGTCATTCTGGTTCTCTCTTTGCCTGTCTGTCCTTTCATTTTTATTTTCTTCGCTCATCTTATTTCTTCTTCTACTGCACGTGCTTACGCTCTTAGTCAATAGTTCTGTGACAATATATATATTTATATTTATATATATATACAGAGAGAGAGAGAGAGAGAGAGAGAGAGAGAGAGAGACACACAGAGAGAGAGAGAGACAGACAGAGACAGAGACAGACACACAGAGAGAGAGAGAGATGGAAACGGAGTGGGTTAGGGGAAGTGGGCAGCAAGGGGGAAGGTGGCGCAATCCTTTTCTTAGTTTC